AAGTACAACCATTTAGAATGGAATGTAATTAATCAATTAATTAAAATTTAACGCTTGTTAAATCTGATTCTGCAAATACACCCTGGCAGAAAAAAACCGAGGGCTGTTAAAAAATTACGTGGACTTGTTGCACAGAAAAATTATTTGACGACGAAATCAAACAAAAAGTCGAGAATCTTATAAACTATTTTAACTTATCAAAATTTCATATTAGAATTTTGTAAATTGTTTAGAATTTTAGATTATCTAACGGGAAATTTCATGATTTCAAGATGCAGTAGAATCTTCGAATTCATAGATTCCAAAAATGTGAGCTTTCAGTTTTTCATAACATTTACCTTCGGACATTTATTTGATATAATAATTAAAGTTTTAGTTTAATACCGTATCGACCACTACGCATTAACATTCATATACCATTTCTGGTCCAGCTTAAAAAATGCCAAACAAGCGTGATCTGGTTTGTGTTAAACCCCCAAAACTGCAAACAATTTGACGTCGGTAACATTCTAAAAAAGGTTTTTGTCGGGTTGCCTTTTAACTCAGATCTAATTATCTTAATTCTTTTTTTTTTAACTTTTTTATTCACATGTCGGAAAATGTCTGGCTACTAACGTTTCATCAAGCATGCTTTGAATCATATTGGCACCATGGTACATGTCTTGATAAAAGTGCTCTGATGAGTCACATCATGAGGTATCCTTTTGAAGGAACGTTTGGAGAAAAATTACAATTCAGTTTGTTTGTACTTCAAATAATACGTCTGCAAAATAGATTCACAATGATACAACATTCAAAGTAAATTTGATAGAAACTGTTAATTATTTTTTCAAATTTAAAATAAAAATGTGTAAAATCATTTGTGTTTTTTTGAATTTCGTCAATGCGCCGTCAATATTAACAATAAAATCAAAACAGCAACAATTCTAGCAGAATTTGAGAAAATAAAATCAAAACATTTATCTATGATTTACTTGAATCCTTAAAGACTATTTTTCTGTGAAATTTCAATTTCTAATGATGTTTTGAAGAGGTAATGATGACAGAGAAGGCGTATTTTTTAATCATCCTCCATTTTATTGTCCAGTAATAATGCTATGAATAAAACAGAACATCTGTTCCAGACTTTTTAATTTTATAATACTTTCAAAGTACAGTGTGTACCAAATAAATAATATTCATATTTTGTTTTAAGGTAAATAGTATCAAATTTAACTTCACGATCACCTATAAGAATTGTAAAGCTAAATTAGAAGTCATTTTATGTGAAAGACGTTGTGTAGTGTGTTTTCTGTCGTAAAAAAACGAAATCCTATGATCTGGAAGGCCTTTAATCATTTTGTTTTCCAAATTGACGTACCGTTATACCTAAAATACTGTTCAATATCAATGAAAATTTTGGGAAATTTAAGAACCATTAAAATATTTTTTCATGTATCAGTTGAAAACGATATATTAAAAAAATAGCTTATTGGGACAAAAGGGTTACTTTATCCCTAACATATTGTGCATATTAGAATACTGAAATAAAACAAAGGTTTGTCATTCCCAGATTTTATAAAGGGACTCCATCCCCAAGGGAAGGTATAACCAGTAACGTTAATTTATAATTATATCTGATAAAAGGGCACAGTTGGGAGTTGTTGACAAGGAGGACGAGCCACTCTTGCTGCCCCGTGATCGCCGTAGAAAAAAGCATAGACTAGAGTAAAGACGCTCGTCTTGAGACTTAGCAATTGTTTGAATAAATCTCTTTAAAACATGAATAAGCCGGTTTATGTACATGTACCCGATAAACTTTGCTATTGTAAATTAACCAATAAAAAAAGAAAGATAACTCTGATTTTATTTATTTTCTATAGAGATTTTGAGCACAGCAAACACTCATCAAATTTTGGGGAAGTTTAAGTTGTAAGATTTTAAGATTTCAAGATTTTAAGAGATTAATATTAAGACAAAGGCAACAGAATAATGATATAACTAAAACTCCTTACATAAAGTCTGCCTGATACGCATCTTAGGTTTCATCAATATTGTTCGTACTAAAATGGTGCATTTTCACATTTAACGCATCAAGTATAAGTACTAAAGGAGTGATAACCGTTTTATTGTCTGAGGTCTTTTTGTTATGTGATCTCAAAATATTTCCTACCTGATTCTAGATGTCCCGATAACATTGAACTGTTTCTATGGCTGTTATAAACGCCTTTGTGTATAAAACTCTTGAAGCTGTGTTCTTTTTTGTCTCTATCATTTTTTTTCTGCCTGTTTCCTGCAGTGTTCCCTTACTTGACTATTTAGATGTTTATTTTTATATTTTTATTCATTTTGAAGTTAACTTCTTTAATTTGCTATTATAGGTTTGGTTTAATATCGTATTCACCACTCCACATTAACATCCATGTAGCATTTCTGGTCAAGCTTAAAAAAACTGTCAAACGAGCATGCTCTGATCTCAACCCCAAACCGGAGTAATTTTCTAAGTATAATTTGACGTCGGTTAACATCACATAATGACATTCTTAAAGGTTCATAAACCCTCTTCACACTCACTTAAAATGTTGTTTGAACCTTTATGACTTTCCATAAGAAATGAATAAATACAGACAATTATAGCATAGCTTGTGAAACAGAATTGGACAAAGAAGATACTTTAAGTTAAACTTTCATGTCATAACGAGTTATCTCTCTTATCAGAGTTTCGATGAACCTTAAAAGAATTTTTGAAGATTATCTTCCTCTGTTCCTTCAAGGAATACCTTTTACTCAGCTACTGAATACCCAGGCCTTATTTTTTTTTAACATTTATTTTATTTTATTTTTTTTTATAGAAATTTCGGAATATACCTCTGGCCACATAAGTTTTATCAATCATGCTTTGGATCTTTTTGGCGTCACGGATGTACTACTGAATCACATAACCAGATGTCATTTTTGTAGGTGTTTTGAAAGGGATCACATTGGAGAAAAATTTTGATTTATTTTCTTTTTAATTCAAACATAGATACACAATGATGTATAATTTTTTTTTAGAGAAACTGGAACATGCTATTGCGATTTTTAAAAAAAATGAAATGTTTGAAAAAAAAAATTTGATCTTTAAAATTTCGTCATGCTCCGAACAATACTTCTAATAATCTCAAAACAGCAAAAAAATTAGCAGAGTTTGACATATAAAATCAATACAAGTATCAATAATTTATTTAATCCTTAAGAAATATGGTTCTGTGAAATTTCAATTTCAAATGATGTTTTGAAGAGTTAATAATTACAGAGAAGGCGTTATTTTTTATCAACCTAAGAAACCTAAAATACGTGTCGAATAAAAAAGTAAAATAGGAGGTGCACAATGGCAATAATATGTAATAAGGATTCTGTGAAAGTTTCATTAAATTTCACTCAGTAGTATAAGAGGAGTTGCGGATAAGAGAAAAGCGTAACAGACGGACGGACGGACTGACGAATCCCGATTACAATATACCCTCCCATTTTTCAAGCGGGGGGTATAATAAAATCTTATTTCCATATTCAAAGAAAGAAGCTCGAATCGGTTGTATCATAAGGTTTTACATACAATAAATACCATAACACGACCCTTCTGTGAACTTGGAAGTTACAAAATCAATGCAAAATTACAATTCACCTGTAAAGGGACCTCCATTAATAAGAAGGGATAGTAATAAAAAATAGCCCATAAAGGAAAATTAGATTGTAGAAAATTCTGTATTCTGTAATAAAATTTACTTTTTAGTAAGGAAACAAAAAAAAAAGAACTCATTAAAAAGACATCTAAAAATGGACATTGGACTTCATATGTTTAATATTAGCTTGAAGGGATATATTGAGGGAAAAACAATATTTGATATCAATCGAAACAGTGGAATTTTTACGGGAAAAAGACGTACCACAATACATTGAATTAGTTTGAAAATACTCAAGACATTTGACAGAAAAATCAGAATTGCAACCAAATTCTTATTGCACAGCTTTACGGCACAGGGCATAAAGGCCAGTCAATTACCTAAAATTGGATTAAACAGATGTAGGAAATAACTTAGTACCAGTGAACAATAATTTTTGCACTTTAGGGAGGGAACTAAATGTTGTCCTGTTATATAATTGATGGAATTCTCGTGCATATTTATTAAGTAAACGTTATAATTCTAGTTTTACCATGTAACTATAAACATACTCACTTCTCAAATAAATTGCTTGAAAAGCTTTTATATTTATTCATAATGCAAGATTGACTTGTTGAATTCGTCAATGTTAACAAATTAATTCAACTTGTCATGTGTGCACAAACATTTATATATGCCAGATGCCAAAAGTAGAATTAATTATGATTGACGGAAGCCGATCGTAGAAAAGGAATTTTCTTTCTGAGTACATTAACCCGATAATTTCTGAAAAGAAAGAGAAAAATCCAACTTGTAATTTGTCCACTGGTAGTTATACTGGGGATTAAACCTGCGGAATTCTGAACTATAAGAGTTTTAGTGCCTTGTAGCATGTAATACATGTACACAGCGAATAATGTGTTTTAAATACTTTTGATGCAAAAAAGCAAATACCACTCATGTTAAATACATATCAAATGGGGGCTGGCAGCCATTTTTAGACTATTTCAATCTCCTTTAAAAGGAGAGCTCCATATACAAAAAAGATCAAATTTTAAAACAAAAATGTATGATTTTTTTCTTTGTCAAATGATAGTTGACAGCAAAAGATACCGTATCTAAAAAAGTAAGTTAAATCTGGTGGTTAATTTGGGATTAATTTGTTGACCCACCAGCCTTCTTAATATTTTACAAATTTCAATAACGATAATTATAAAGTTAAGAAAAAATTATGAAGGTCTTGTTCTTTCAATCCATACTCGTTTTCAAATCTAAGTATTAAAAAACTTTTAAGTATTAAAAAACTTGTCCACATAAAAAAAAGAAATTAGAAACATACGATGTGTCTTTATAGCAACTTAGTCAGTTATTCCGTAAGTTTCAGAGTGAATATTTTTGGACTTCATTCAATGATTCCCTCATCTTTTCGATGTGGTTTGTTATATCTTTTCCGAGCTCAGACTTTGAACCATTAGCAATATCTTGACTTGAGGAGACGATTTCCCAGATATCAAAACCTACACCAACAAGAGCAAGAGCAGCCGTTTTACCAATAAGTTTTCCGGCAGTCATCCCGATTCCTCGACCTCCTTTACCGACCAAACGGGCCGTTTTCGACATGACCTGCGCAACTTTCTTTCCTCTTTTAATGGTTTTGAGCATCGTTTTTATTTCCTTTTTTGTAGATATAGCAACCTCCTTCAAGGTTTCCAAAGCTTCTGTAAAACGATTTTCAACGTTCCAAAGCTTCTGTAAAACGGCTTCATCTAGGTCGGTTGTTCTTTTTTGGTCCCCGAGTATGATGTTTTCAGATTCCTTGCATTTTCTCAAAGCATAATTCTTATTAATTTGGTCAGAAGTGAGGTTTGTTATTCCACCAGCTAAGACTACCCCCGCTGCTATTCCAGCACCAACGGCGGCAGACGCACCTGCTGTGAAGGGTGCAAGAAGCAAAGCTCCAATCATTATGCTTCCGCTTAACACACCAACGCTACTACCTACAATTTGAGTGACATTGTTTTGAAATTCGCCACTGTCCATGTCGGCCACAATTTGCTCTAAATCTCTGATGGCCCTTCTTCTAGTCCTAATCCACTCTTCATACTGGTTGACAAATTCTTCAAGATACCTTTCATAATTGCGTATGGCATCAATTTCCCGATCTGACATAATTCGTCTGGAAATTGAAAAATATAATCCTGAAGTAATAGAAATAAAGACATTTAGTTTTATTTCGAGATTCGATCCATATGAAATTCATCAAAGGCTAAAATTGTTTCTTCTACATTTCAATACACATTTTTAACGTTTAGCTAAGGCTTGTTAACCCTATATTCATTTTTTCTTAGATTGCTCGAGCCCTCCTGGATGCTGATCCTGCTCAGCTAGGGGACTGATTCATCAGATTTAAAGTTCAACCTTGGGTAGAAGTTAGTATACTTGTACAAGTGATTTATGGTGTCATCTTATTTATTCTTCCTAACTTTAGGCAGTTATTTAAGCTTAAAAATCAATGTAAGATGTGTTTTATATATACTCATATGAGCAAATTTTTCAAAGAGGATATAAATTTTAAATATGAAGAAGTGAAAACATTTTATTTCCGCCTCCAATGAATCAAACGTTC